TCCGACTATAACTCTAGATTATTATCTAGATAATTATGATGTTAATTACTGCACATATAGCAGTTTATTTGGTTACTCCCAACGCCCATATGTATTCCATAGCATAAGGGGACCAAATTCCATGGCAAGAATGCCTAAATTCTACAGTAATCTTAAAATTACTCTGTAGTCCAAATACTCTTCTTTCCCATTCAGTTATGCCTCGAAAAACATTCAATGGCAATTTAGGGGTTTACGATATTCAGATGCAAAGTAAGTCAATGTTTATTTTCAAGTATGGTAACCCAGCTCCAATTTGTGGGCCTCAACTCCTGCAGAACCATCTACTAGGTGGCCTGGCTCAGAACCGTCTTGTCTCCATTTAGGCCAAGGAAGAGAGTAGCTTGCAGCTGGCTTCAGCAACTCACTTCTCTAAGCCTTGACTTCTGTGTTGTTCTCTAGGTAGCTCAAACTATATTACTAATTTTCTCTGTTCATAGGCTGTAAACTGGACTCCAGCTCTGGCTCCCTAACTTCCTAGCTCCATGGACCTATAGTCTGATCTATTATGAGAGATTCTTAAATTGTTTAGTTTATGAACATGGAGGGAGTGTCACCTGTAATCCAATAATTCCTCCTTGTGGGGAAGATGGGTAGTAAGAGGCAGCAACAATCAGGGCCCAGGTCATGGAGACAGAAAATAAAATATCAGATGCTTGCATCAACCAAAATGGTAACTTTTATGGCATATCTGAAAAATGCCAATATTTGCAGCTACACAACCAGGAGTTCTTGATTAAGATGAATGGGACAATTCAGAACTATTATTTCAGGCTATTCAGAACTATTATTTCCTTGTTAACACAGGAACACAACACTGGATCTATTTACACTCTGTAGACATTCTCAAGCAGGGCCAGCTCCAGGTTTTCTGCCGTCCCAAGCGGCAAAAAAAAAAAAAAAAAAAAGCGGCAGCGCGATCACACCACTCCACTCTTCGGTGGCAATTCAGCGGCAGGTCCTTTGCTCCCGGATGTGCCGCCCCAATAGCAGCCAAAGTGCCGCTCCTTGGTATTGGCCGCCCCAAGCACCTGCTTCTTTAGCTGGTTCTCAAGACTATGTCTACACTGTATTAAAAAAACCTGAGGCACTGAGTCTCAGAGCCAGAATCAGCTGACTCGGGCTTGTGGAGCTTGGGCTGAGGCACATCTCCCTCACATGATCTCAGTGCCCAAACTCCATCCCAAGCCTGAAAATCTACACCCGGGGTGGGCAAACTTTTTGGGCCGAGGGCCACATTTGGGTGGGGAAATTGTATGCAGGGCCGGGGCAGGGGGTTGGGGTGCGGGAGGGAGTGTGTGGTGTGGGAGGGGGTGCAGGAAAGGGCTCAAGGCAAGGGATTGGGGCAGAGGAGGGATGCATGAGGGGCCTGGGGTGCAGGAGGGATGCGGAGTCCAGGAGGAGGCTCAGGGCAGGGGTGCAGACTGCAGGAGGGGGCTCAGGGCAGGGGGTTGGGGTGCAGGAGGGGTGCAGGGTGTACGAGGTGCTCCGCATGCACTGCCCTTGCCAGGCCTCCAGGTGCCTCCCCTGAAGCTCCCACTGGCCGAGAACGGGGAACCGCAGCCAATGGGAGCTGCGGGGGGCAGTGCCTGGGGGCCGCAGGGAAGTGATGCCGGACCCTTCTGAGAACGGCGCCCACGGTGCCATGGGGAGCAATCCCCCGGGCCAGATCCAAAGTCCTGAGGGGCCGGATCCGGCCCACGGGCCATAGTTTGCCCACCTCTGATCTACACTGTACTGTTATAGCCCCACAGCTGAGCCAGTTTACCTTGGCCAGCCATGGGTCTTATCACATTGTAGACATATTCTTTATTAAGGTTTTTTTTTTTTTTTTATAATGAAAGCTTACTTTTGAGAACTGCAGAATACTTGGAGCTCTGGTTACTCCTAATCTCAAACATCAGATTGATCATTTTAAATGATGTTAATTTATCGAATCGTAAAATTTTATAAACTATAAAGATGGAATTTGGTGCCATACATTAAGACACATAATGGATCTGAATTTTAAGCAGGATTGGATAAATTCCTCACTAGTTGTGATTATATATTATTATAGTAGCTACCAGTTAAGCTTTAGAAAGTAGAGTGATCCCCTGGAGAATTCAGAAAGATACCTTCACTAGTACCATCATTGTGTACAACATTACACAATCATCAAGATGAAATCTGGATGTACTCACACCTTCCCTGGAAGCTTCAGGTTTCTGTCACTATAGGCGGTAGAATACCATGAGATAGACTAATTATGGAAGATTCATAAGTTGTGCTTTTTTTTTATGGACTTGTTTGATTCCCACACACTGTCATGCATTCTTAGGGTATATCTATACTAGAGTGACTGCACCGGCACAGCTATGGCTCTGCAGCTGTGCTGCTGTAGTGTAGACACTTTCTACATTGACAGAAAGGGGGTTTTCTGTACATATAGGTAATCCACCTTTCTGAAAGGAGGTATCTATGTCAACGGAAGAATTTTAGATGTAGGCCAGGCCTTAGTATTTTTTTCCTAAGGCAATTAAATAGTTTTCATGCCTGCTATAGAGGTGTCTAGGTCTCTTTCTTGACACATTTTGTAGTAATATATTCAACTCTTCTTGAATATTCAATCTTCTTCAATCATTGAGGGGCCCACTTAGGGATCTGGGGCAAAATCAGTACTTGATCCTACCAGTGAAGGCAGGGGGCTGGACTCGACCTTTCGGGGTCCCTTCCAGTTCTATGAGATAGGTATATTTAATATTGCTAGATTGCATTTCTGTCTCCGTGAAGGCTTGAAAGGTTATGCATTCTTTTATTACTGCCACTTAAAATTGATTAACCTATTTGTGGTTTTGCCCTTAATGCTTGTATACATTCTAAAGAATACAAAAAGCAGCTCCTGGGGCCTCTTAATGTGGTACAATGCCCAGCATCACTGAGTTAATTTTAAATATATAAGCCTCAGATTTAGTTAAGGACTAACTTCTCCACCTGCCATTCCCCATAAAATATATCATTTGTTGTTTGTCAAAGCTAAGCAGCTCTGCTTTTTGTTTAATGTCTCCATTTACTTGCACACTGGAGACATGAGTTACTAGAAGGATTAAGTATCATAACCAGATTGTCCTATGGCTGAAATACACTACATACCCCTATTTGTTGGGGGGGGAGAGGAAATGGCAGGGCTATTTCAGGGGCAGGAAATGAAGTATGAACAAAAGAAGAGTGCAGTTATAATCTGAAAAGTGACTCTAAAATGGCATAATGAGACATGGGATGATACATCTTCCAGGTCAAGTTTATTCAGTTTAGAAAAAGCTTTTTTCTGAGACATACAAACTGAACATGGGATATGAAAGTCAATTTGTGTTATTACTAGTTCGTGAGCAGTGAACCCTACACAACTGAGGTGCTTCAATTACACAATTGATTGTACCTGCTATATAATACACCTCACTTGGAGGCAAGGCTTACTGGTAAGGCATACTCAGAAAAGGACAGCTTGACTTTCACATCTTCAACTTAGTTTGCAAGTCTGAATGTTCTTAAAAAACAACAAAACAATTTCTTTCACATATAAACTGAGTACACTGGATCTGGAAATTTTCAGAGATGGTAAATGCTTTTACTAACAAATGCCACCTCAAAGATTTAGCTATTAATTGGTCATTCAAAATTTTAAGGCAACCTCTTACTATCATCGGCATTATTGTTTGCTGCTCTGATGATTCATCAAAGACCATTTATATCATATGAGACAGCTGGAGAGAAGTTACAGTACTTCTTTCATTATTATCTATTGGTGACATTGTAACATTATTTTTTACATTTTCCTGCTGATGGAATGAGACATTAAAATGGAGGACTTAAATCACAGAAACAACAACAAATTGCCAAAGTTATTATTGGTCACCTACATATTGTTGCTGACTGAGTTTGTCACATTTTTTATTTGTGCCATCATGCTGAGACCATTGCTTTTTAATATGACAAAAATCTTACAGCTAGCATAACTATCTGCAGAAAAGAAGAGTAAGGCGGGGGGGGGGGGGGAATTGATAGCAGCCTTCAACTACCTGAACGGGGGGTTCCAAAGAGGATGGAGCTAGGCTGTGCTCAGTGGTGGCAGATGACAACAAGGAACAATGGTCTCCAGTTGCAGTTGGGGAGGTCTAGGTTGGATATTAGGAAAAACTATTTCACTAGAAGGGTGGTGAAGTATTGGAATGGGTTACCTAGGGAGGTGGTGAAATCTCTATCCTTAGAGGTTTTTAAGGCCCAGCTTGACAAAGCCCTGGCTGGGATGATTTAGTTGGTGTTGGTCCTGCTTTGAGCAGGGAATTGGACAAGATGACCGCCTGAGGTTTCTTCCAACTCTAATCTTCTATGATTCTTTCTGTCTGATTATAAACATGAGGGCCAACAAAGTGAAGTACCACAAACTTTCAAGTATAGTTAGTGCTAATGAGAAATGCCAAGAGACAGCATTCTGCACTTAGTTGCTCACAAGAACACAGAGCTTGTATCCAAAATATATACCCAAATCTTCCTCATTACGATCAAGAATTTGCAGTGATAAGAAAAATATGGATCAAGCTACACCTGATAATTTACTTTAAACAATTCTAAATCTTTACAGTATTCATTGTTTTAGGTTTCATTAATGAGAGGGAATAATTTCTGAATTACAATAATCATAAGTCTTATTTTCATGTTATGAAAAATGAGGATGTCAATAACTTTTAGAAAGACTAATAAAGATATTTCAATACATTCAGTGTCTGTTTCTAAAAATTTTATATTCTTTGAAACAAAAAAAAAAACGCTGATACTGATAATAAATGACAAGAAATTGCTTAGCACTGCATTATCTGATGCCACACAGACCTCATCTCAGTATAAATGATATTTTGACAGCCAATGTTAGTTAGAGAGAGAGAGAAACTGTAAATATTAGTGTGGATAATCATAGAACTTACTTCAATTGACTGAGATTGCCCATCATGGGGATGAGGTGATCTTGGATAAATATCAAGAAGGTGAGGTGGGTCATCAGTATGTATTCTTCTTCTATGTTGTTTAAGAACTTCCTTATAGTTAAATGAATCAAAATTGGTCTTCCACAGTAATACCTGTAAATCAACCATCAACCTTATTAAAATTGAATAATTTTTTTAATAAGGAAAATAACTCTTCAAAAGGAAAACTACAGGAACTTGATTTTCAAAAAGTAATGGTACAAATCTTCTGCTCTCCAAATTGCAATGCAATAGATATGTGCAATTTCCATAAAGAACCTACAATATCATTTTAAAGGCAAAACACTGTTTAAAATAATAAAGGTTCAATGTTAGGAATTTGACTTTCAGCATATTCTAATATCCAAACCATAACTGTTTAGTGATATTCTGTTGATTACAGTTAAAAATACAAGCATCTCAAAATTTGTAACAGAAAAAAAAAAAACCCTAACGAGTCTTGGGAATACAGTATAAGGTTTTGGACTTTGAATTGAAATATAAATATAAGGGTTTGTCCCCTGACAAACCTATGCTTGCAGAAGATAAAGAAATGTTAACGAATTATAGCATATGCTCCAAACCCCACCCCGATTCTAATAGATTAAAGAATAAAACAGGGTAACATACTTATACTGAACTAGAAAATGAAGGATTGTTAAATAAGATTAAGAGCTTTGATATAGCTATATTTTACTAATTTGAAATTATGAATAATTAATTATAGATAAGCTAAAACTTAGGTCAAGCCCTTGCCTGGCATCAGTGTGGTTTTGTCAATTCTTTGATATAAAATTGCTGAATTGTTTAAGATGATGTTATTTGCTGTCAAGATAAGTAATGTATTGTGTTGGAAGATGCAAGTAAGAGGTATACAATCATGTAATGATAAATAAAAACCTCTTTTTCTGGGAAGATCCAGGAACATGGTGACACAGAACAACATGATCCAGAACCTGCAAAACTATCCGGAAAAATGCAGAAGTTGGCTAACTGAAGGTTACTCATATGTAATGTATGGATACATATAAAAATTAAACAGGTGATGTGCTAAAGGCCAATTGGATAAAATGAAGTAATTTGGAACGCAGAAAGATACAAAAGACCTAAGTGAACTCTGCCCAAACTGTAGAAACACCGAACCAGAAATTGAAGTACTGGACTAAAGGACCAGACCAGGATATCAGAGGAGGCAATGACCATCATGGAAGGTGAAAGTGCCCCAGAATGTGGTAACTTGGGTCATTTACAAATTCTGTCTTCTCTGTTATTATTGCATGGCATAAATATATGTTCAGACACTGTAAGTAACAATAATTTTGTCTGAAATTATATAAAGGGAAAAAATTGATTAAGCCTAAACCACCACCATCTTTGGTAAATTGTTCCAATAGTTAATTCCATCACGGTTAAAAAATTTCACTTTATTTTTAATCTGAATTTTTCCTAGCTTCAACTTCCAATCATTTGATCTTGTTATATGAATCTGTGCTATACTGAAGAGCACTCTATTATCAAATTTCTATTCCCCATGTAAGTACTATTGTCAAGGCACCTCAACCTTCTTTTTGATAAGCCAAAGAGATTGAGCTCCTTAAGTATTTTCTTATAGATACGTTTTCCAATCCTTCATTTAGTAGATGGCTCTTCTCTGAGCCCTCTGATTTTTCAACATCCTTCTTGAATTTTGGACACCAGAACTGGACACCATATTCTATCAGCAGTCCCACCTGAGCCAAATACAAAGTAAATAGAGCTGCTCTGTTCCTACTCAATATTCCCTCATTCATGCATCCGAGAATTGTGTTAGCCCTTTTGGCCAAAGCATCATACTAGGAACTCATGTTGACTTGATTATCCACCATGATTCTAAAGTCCTTTTCGGAATCATTGCTTCTCAGGGTAGAGTCTTCCAACCTGTAAGTATGAGCTACATTCTTTGTTTCTTTATGTGACCTTACATTTGGCCATACTGAAATGCATTTTTGATTGCTTGTTAAGCTGGACACTATCTAGATCACCTGTATCAGTGACCTGTCCTCTTCATTATTTACCACTCCCCTAATCTTTGTGTAACCTGTAAATTTTATTAGTAGGATTTTGTGTTTTCTTACAGGTCATTGATAAAAATTAAATAGCTTAGGCCAAGAATCAATCCCTTCAAATCCCCACAAGAAACACAACTCATTGATGATTCCCCATTTACAATTACATTTTGAGACCCATCAGTTACTTAGTTTTTAATCCATTTAATATGGGCCATGTTAATTTTGTATTGTTCTAGTTTTTTTTAATTAAAATGTCATGCAGTACCAAATCAAATGTCTGTTTCCTTTAAATTTCTTTAGTGGAAGGACTCCATGTAGGACTATAGGCCTAGTTTTGGCCTCAATGAGATATTGTTTTAAGTTGGATTTAGATATTAGCATGAGTGATAGGCCCAAAGCATTTGACCAAAAAGAATGAGATCACAAGAAAGGAGGATTGTTTGTATTAAAGCTGTAATGACCCGTGCAATACCAGTGTTATCTTATTTAAGGTTTAGGTTGAAGTAACAGAAATTAAGAAAACATGGTCAATTGGGTGCTAGGTCCAGGGCTCAGCCCAAAAATTCCTTCCCTTGGCTTTAGCTAAGGCCCAATTACCAGCAATGACATCACTTGTTTACTATAGTATATAAAATCAGGGTTCTTTAGGAATGAATGTCTTCAGGAGAGCTTTTCCTTACCCCTCTGGAATCATACCATGATGGGAAGGTATCACCCAGGGCCTGATCCTGTTGTAAGTATTTTGGCCAATGCTTATAACTGAATTGTTAGTAGGATACAGAGAATAAGTGTGTATATAGTTATATTGTTATTTTTGATGTAACCAACACCAAATGGACTCTGGAATAAGAAAGAAATGTTTGCGTGGAAAAAGAATCCTGGCAAACCTTGGTAAATCTATTGGGGAAATTATTTCCAACATGCCAGTTTGAACAAAAGTTGACAATTATGTAGCCTCTCTCCAACTTAAGAAAGATTGGTATGGAGAAGATACAATATAGTGCCCTTTTCACATGTTCATTTTATAGCTGCTTGACTAGCTACTCAAAAGTTATTTGTTGCAGTCATGACAGAGAACACCAGGGAAACAGTACCTAAAATGTTTGTTGGGAGGAAATTACAATATCTGTGTGTATAGCAGGAAAAGAAAAAAAAGGGTTGATGGAAATTCAGTAATGTTAACTATTTGACTACTCCCTTGACTGGGAGCTTTCACAGAACATGCCCTCGTCAGAGGCAGGTAGGATACAGAGAATGCGCTCATCACTTATTAATTCTTGTAAGAAAGACTAAAGTAGTTTTTGGGCAGTTCAACCTTTACTCTATTCCCAAATAACTGGATTCTTATTGTTACTTTTGACTGTTAAAAATCTTCATTACATGATTGTTTCAAGTCTCACCTCTTCCATACTGCTGCTTCTTAAGTGGAAATCTAAAGTGTTAACTGTACAAAACATTTGAAAAAAAACTCTGGTCCTAGAAGGTTACACATTCCTTATGGAATTGTTCCCTGTCATGGGCTCTTGGGGTGGCCTCAGCTTCACCTAACTGCCCTCCCCCCATTAACTTGCTGTCAGTGAGGTCAGTGTTTGGACCCTTACATTCCTTAAAGCCTGTTACTTCCTAGGTGCGTCTCTCTGCTAGTCTCCTGGCTGTTTTCTTGGAGGCAACCTGGTGCAAGGCTGTCACCACTTTGCTACCCCAGGCCTTTCTGCCTCCCCTTCTTTCTCTGCCCTCTTCTCTTTACAGCAGACCCTATTTCCTTTATTGGTTGCAGCTGTGGGTGCCTGCCTCCATCATTGGTGGGTCTGGCAGCTGCAAGGGGTTGTGATCAAGATGCTTGCTTGTAAACAGGAGGGACTCTCCTCCCCGCTCTGTCTATGTTCAGTATGGGGTTTGTAGACCCCATTACATTCCCCCTTTCATCTCTGTGGGTGGCCACTCAATTTAACTATGCCATTTCCTCTTCTCACTGGAGAGAATTTGGTTAACACTGTTCATGTGAATAACTATAGCCTGCTACTCTTAAAAAAAGAAAAATGAAAGGTTCCATGGTCTGTTGTGCCAAATTTTAAAGATTAAGATATATTAATGTAAACTATAGCAAAATACACAGGACACCAAGAAAATTATAACCGGATAAAATTATGATTGGGAAAGAAAGAGAGCTCTTTGAAAGGTAAATAAAAACAGGATTGACAGAGAGACTTTATACATTTTACAGAGCAATAGCCAACATGATATGGAGTATGTTCCTATGAAAACGCTTCACAAAAATGCCATGCAATAACAATACCCCCCCAAATCAAAAAGCATGTGTTATGCAGGATTCTCTTGCATTAAATTAAGTTCTCCCTTAAGAACTGAAAATATCTACGATGCAGTGATTTATGCGAAAGTTAAAAAATATTTTTTAAAAAGTCTTTAAGAACACAACAAGAGATGCCAATACTATAACATAATAGCTTGAAGACAGACAGCTATAAAGAAAACACTATGTAATGGGGGAGGGAAGTAGGATTTCAAGATGATGTGCAAAAGCATCACTCAACTATGCTCCTTAAACATTTTAAAAGGAAAGAAAAAAATCCAAAACAAATTCCAATTTAAACCTCCATATAGACAGGAAATGTAAGCAAGTGACATCTGATGAGCTTTATCTATTCCATGTAATCTGACAAAATAATCCACTTCATAATGACAAATTTTGGAAAACATTTTTGTTCTATTGTCTTTACATAAAGTAGCCTTTTCAACAGATGACAAATGTTACTAGATCTCCTAAGGCATTACTACAGGGAAATCTGTGTCCTTTATGTGCATCATCTGTGCTACTAACTGTAGCTATTTACTAAAAAGTTTTAATAATTACCTCAAGACATCCCTAAAATGAATACATTTAGTATAGAGATTATTAGAGAAGCACTATAGCAGGTCCAGAAAGTAGAGTTGAGATTTCAGCTTAGACCAGGAATTAAAAAACTCTTGTAAGAATTATAGAAGGGTCACTGGCTGGCCAGTGCACCCTCCGATGGCTGAGCATAGTTTAGCAGTCTCTTCTGGTGCCCCCATCCTTGCTCACTCCGAGCCTGAGGTAGCTTGCACCCCTTTTTATGGCTCAGCCCTCTGGTCGGGTCATCTATAGTCCATCCCTTCCAGGGTAATAAAGACTCCAATAAAGCAGAAGTCTAATGACCTGGCAGCCCCACCGTAGGTTTGATAACTTTGGAGGATCAGTGTGGGAATCCAGGCCTTCCCTCTTCTCTGGGTTCTGGCCCAGGGACTCTATTAAGCAGCTAGAGTGCTTCCATAGACTCCCTGCTGTTTCCCTGTGCCACTTCCTGCTGTCAGGCTGATGCAAGAGGCTGCATGCTGCTAGAGTGCCCAAGGGGACTCCCCTTGAGTTCTCTGGCTGCGTGCAGCCCCTTGCACCATGAGCCTTCTCCAACTGTTTGGGAAGTCTCTTTAAATTCTTTTTCCTGCGAGGTCTCCTCCCTGTTCTCTTCTCTTTTATTCTGGAGACTCTTCTCTCCAGGAACAGCCATTTATCTCAGCTGTGGTGGTCAGCTTGGGAAGTAACTGTTCTGCCCATTCACCCCTTCCTGGCTGTTACAGTGGAGGGTTTATATGCCCCTCACAGAATACTGTACTGTATCCTCCGTAGAACAGCACTTATTCTTTTTAGTAAGAAACACGCTCCTCAGAATTTCCATGTAAATCTGTTAATTAGTTTATGAATTATAATGATTTTACAATGAGCCCTTTAAGAATTGTTTTTGCTAACTCTGTTTTGGCTCCTTAATGCAAATAAAATTCCTAGTAATTTTTCAGATCTGAAGTCTGACTTACTTCTCAGGTGCAGCAAAATGTAAGATATAGGCTACTTTAATTTTTTTTTTTAAATTAACATTGTTATTTTTAACCATTTCTACTTCAATTGAAATAATTGAGTATTTTGGTCATTGAATAAATGCTCAAGAAGCTATAGATTAAAATGTTTCTATCCTTCAAGGTTGTGAAGAGCTAATAGCTCCAAGAGATGCAAAGTGCCCTATTCATCTTGTATTCAAAGTGTTGTGTTCCTTGACAGGTAAATTCATAAGAACTTTTTGCCTTTTGAAGACTATTAAGCTTACCATAACAGTTTCACTATTCCACTATTTGGTGTACTTTTTTCACCTCCAAACTGCACTCTTTAATTAGTGCATAGTAAAGTGAAAAAGCATTTGCACGAATTTGGTAAGATTTCCTCCTTTTATGCTCAAATATTTTAGTTGTTACATCTAGCTTCATTTTCATAATAATTTCATTTATTGACCACGTGTCTTTCTGCAAATCTTTTACATCTCAAATTTCAATCTTTTTTACTAGCAAAATCCTCCAGCATCCATATCCTTGCTTCAGTCAGAGTTTATTTCTCTCCAATATTTGCCAGTCTTTTGATTGCTGTTGCAGATTCATTGTCATGTCAGCAGTTCTTTTATTTCCTTTGAGTTTCCCCAACTCATTTCTAGAAAAGGTGCCACGTGAAGCTACATCTCTGGTTCTTTGCATCTGATTGCACTTTAGAAGTAAGACAGTGATGTCTTCTTTCCAATACCACCTGAGTCTTTAGTTTGAACTTTATTCCTTCAAGTTATGTTTTCTATTAGTTGTTGAGTAAAATTCCACCCTTTTCTTCCCCCAACAAAATATGAAACATGTTTGTAGTAACTCCCCGGAGTGTCACTTCCACAAAGCTGTTCTCTGTGCCTCCATCATGGGCTCCCAAAACACATTTTGTTCTTTTTTTGTTATTGCCACATAATACTGAGGAAGCATTTTACAGAATATAAAGTTCTAATCCAAGTGCTAGATAATTTCTATTTTCCTTAATTGTGCCCCTTTATTCTTTTACCATGTAAACACCTGGAGAAGCAGCTCTAAGATCAGATATGGTGGCATTTCATAGTGACCAGATTTACCCACAGTGGCACAATCTACTGCACCCACAGTCGGGATAAGGATTAATTATATGACTCGCTGGTTTAATAAAACTTATTTTGCGTGGAATTATTAAACTGATACTCTGTATGAAATCTAGTGCTTTGGCTAATTTAAACTGGCAGAACAACAATCTAAACAGATTTTGCCCGATCTCAGCCCAAATTTTCTAATATCTCATTAATTTGTGCACTAACAGACTAGGTACCTTCCTCTAATTAGAAGGGACAACCTAGCAAACAGAGCATGTATGCAGATATATCTATCCTATGTGAATCATCATCAAAATCATCATCTTTAACCAAAGCACACTAGTAACAGCAAAATTACTTTCCTGCTGTGCACTTCTGAATAGAAGAGATTTGTTTGAATTGCTGTATTATGATCCACATTGTTTCCCTGAACTTGAATCATTACTTCTGGTGTCTTTCTTATGATATGGGACTCAAAATACAAATGGAGTGCATTCCTGTTTTTTACTGGAATACTCAATTGGAACCGGTGAATGTAAAAATGTAATTTTATTACACAAAACAAAAATAGTATAAGATATCGCAAATTAAACTTGCATATAAGCCTACCTAGAAACAATTACTAAAAACATTCAAAATGGATCCAATAAGTCTACTGTAATTCTCATGTTTCAAAACACTAACTCATTCACTCACTGTAATAAATACTGAAAGAATGATTGTTTTATATAGAACATCTAGTTTTTAAACAAACCTGTGCATCAGCTCCACCTGATGCAAATTTTTCCCCACCTTTGGAAAAGGCCACAGAAAGCACAGGTCCCTGTAAAATTAAAAGCAAGTTCAGTAATGTGCTAAAATAATTTATTTCTATTACAGTCTCTCTCTCTTTACACTGAAATATAGATAGTCATCTGTTGTTCAACAGAACTCCAGAACTGCAACAACTTTCTAATGCTAATGAATAAGATAGACAAAATGGATGAGGTAATATTTTTATTGGACCACCTTCTGTTCGTGAAAGAGACAAGCTTTCAAATTTTCTGAAGAGGAGGATCTCTGTACAGCTCAAAAGCTGGTCTCTTTCACCAACAGAAATTTGTTCACTAAAAGATATTACCTCACCCACCTTGTCGCTCTAATATCCTGGGACTAACATAGCTACAACAACACTGCAAACAATTAATGAGAAATAGTCCAATTGCAATGATGATTTCTACAAAATTAAGGTTGAGTGAAAGATGAATACTACAAATCACAGGAAAATATTAGGTCATGATTATTGCCGTATTACTTATTATTCTAAACAATACTATATTTCCCATATCTATTTTACTTTATATTTACTTTACTATATATTTGATATTTTTATCATAAATAATTCAATTAGAAAGTAGGGCTTGCTGCATATTAGGGAGGAAGAGAGAAAAGGAAAGTGGTGATAGGAGGTTCTTGTTAAGACTGTCACACACTCCTCCGTTAACTACAGAAGGTTTATACAGCACATGTACTTATCTAGTAGATGATTAGTTGTTCATCTGCAAAATGACTGAAGAACATTACCCTCTTGATTTCAGATATTAATTCAGTATGAAAACTGTTACCCAGCATTAAAGCACATACACTGTAGTGGCATGACTGTCACTTGAGGTTATGCAATTTCTGTCAACTTGTGAGAAGCTGCATTACTGCAAAAGTTTGTTTTCCATTGAAAATGTCGTGCATTGGCAAATAACTGGCATCGTTAGTGCACCACGCAAGTGTATTATTTCTCCTCTAATGAAGTTATTAAACATATCGATATGATAAAATCTACTAACATTTCAGTTAAAAAAGAACTACTACAGTACTGCTATACCTTGTGTCCATGAAGCGTATATATAAGTCTTCCTTCTAAGAGATCCATAATTTTAAGGGTACCATCAGTAGAAGCAGTGATGAGATAGTTACCAGAAGGATGGAATGATACACAATTAACTCCTCCTCTGTGAACTAATTCACAAGAGACAAAATTCAGACGTTGATACTAACTATTGGAAATAAAATCTACGTTTCTTATAGTAGTTGCTTTCTAGTGCCCAAAACAATAATCAACTCCCATTATTACTGAGAGAAAAGAAAAACAAATGTGAAAGAAAGCAGTTACTCAGTTCCATGCTAATACAACAGAAAAATTACAAAATGAAGAAAAATTCTGAGATGCTAAAGTAATTAATGCTTTTATTAAAATAAAGGATGCAGACTTGTTTGCTTTCCAGTTAGCAGGGGGAATTAATTTAAATTCATTTAAAAAAATATTAATTTAACAAAGAAAAATATCTGAGTATAATTGCAGTTATAGTAATACTAGTCAATTCATTGATTACAAAAAGTATTCATGGTGTAGGAGGAGCTTTGTTGACATGTATTAAATTTATCGAGACAGAAATAATTCAGACACTAACATATAGCATGTTAAAAATCATGATATTAAAGAGTTTGACAAACCAACAAATATAAAGCAATTCAAAGCAAAGGCTATTTTCTGTGGTTAATTTCATACTGTTAAACCTAAACTCCTTATGATCACATACCGGTGAGTGTGTTTTCTGGTACCTTGACCCAATAACATGAGCTTAGGATGATAAGAAAGCCTTAGCATTGAATGTCCCATCTTTTATTGGCCAAACTCAGATGGTTAAGCTGTCTTTCACAGCATGGGGCTTTTTAAAATAAAATAAATATGAATTCTTAAGATTACAGCAACTTCTCAGAGTCTGTAAAATTATAGGACAGTTTCAAAGGGACCAAGTTGAAATACGTTGCAGTTTTTAACTCAAATGGCATTCTTCTGAAAGCTAAAAATGTAGACAAAATGTAATATTGAGTCACTAAAACATATAGAAAAGACACTTAATAAATATTAAATGTTTACATTATTGTTTTCTGTACTGTCAGTTTCTGTTCTTGGAGAAGAGGGACTGAGTCATATTAATCACACTGTCACATGCTGATGTAGCAAAATACTTCGGCACATAGCTAACTTCAATGGAACTATGCAGAGGCTTAAAGTTAAACATATGCTTAAACATGTGCTTCACTGGATCAGGGCCCTAGTCAATCAGGGCCAGATCTTGTGAGATGCAGAGCACATTCATCTCCTATTGATTTTCCTTGGATCCTACTGACTTTAAACCAACTGCAGCTGGACAATCAGCACATTGTAAGACCTGCCCATTACCGAGTGGCAACAGACACTGAATGGAGCCAATTCTCCTATTCGGTCATAAGGATGGTGGCCCAGGCATAAAAAACAGATTAAGAATCTCCTTTCCTTGCCCCAATAAACAAAGTATCACACTAACTACAGCTCTTTTTAATCATTTTTAAAATTTGGCTATTTGGTGGAAAATATTAGTCTTTGCTACAAGCTAATAGCTTGGTGAATTTCAATTTACAAATGGATAGTAGCTATTTTTAATAGTTACAAAAACAGAAAAAAGTTGTTTTATACTAAACTCCACTCACAAAAAAGCCTCTTTGAGCAGTCATGCCACTATAAAAACTCAAAATTATGATTTTTAAGGAAAAATTGTTTTTGGAGGAAGAAAAGGAGATGTCTGTATTTTAGCTGTTTTCTAAACATTTGAAAATAGATTTAGGGCATGTCTACACTACTAAGTTAAGTCAACTTAATGTAAGTTGACACTCAGACACTGTAGTAAATAAGTTGGTCGGTTGTGTCAGTGGAGTGCATCCTCACTAGCAGCACTTGCATTGATGCACAGAGTAGTGCACCATGGGTAGCTATCCCACAGTTTAACTAGCTGCAGGGGGTTATGGGAAGGGCTTGCAACACCTCATGGGACCAAAACATTGTCACAGGGAGGAATGCGAACATGGCTTCGGCCTCCCATGATCCCGCTTCCTCCATCCCTCCCCTGATATCAACGGCAAACAACCCATATTTTCTTGTGTCTTTTTTTTGAAAGCCTGGCTTAGCCACACATATGCAATAGCCTGAGAAGCAGGGACCTCGCTCAGCTGTGCATTCTTGTTGTGAGCATTACAAACATCTTGTGCCTTATCCTGCAGTATTTCCAGAGCCGAGACAGGAGCCACAGTGTGGAACATTGCAATGTCATTCAAGCAGCCCAGCTGCAAGCCATAGAAAGAAACAATTCCTGGTTGCTTCTGGCAGTCATGCAGCAGCTGAGCACAAGTGGAACGCCGTTTCTGGTCCTGGGAAACAAGAACTGACTGTTGGGATCGCTTCGTTATGCGGCTATGAGATGATGAACGATGACTACAGAACTTTCAAATGCGGAAGGCCACTTTCCAGGAACTTTGTGCAGAGCTTTTCCCAGCCCTGAAATGCAGCAACACCAAAATGAGACATGCTCTGACAGTGGAGAAGCGAGTGGTGATCGCTCTGTGGACGCTTACAACGCCAAACTGCTACCAGTCAGGGGGAAATCAATTCAGAGTTGCTAAATCCTCTGTGGGAGCTGTTGTGATCCAAGTGTGCAGGGCTATTAATCAACTTCTGCTAAGAAGGGTCATGACTGTGGGCAACGTGCGGGACATCGTGGATGGTTTTGCATGGCGGGGCGATAGACGCAATGCATATCCTTATCTTGGCACCAGACCACTTAGCCAAAGAGTATATAAACGGTTAGGGATACTTTTCAATGGTGTTGCAAATGTGGGTGGATCACAGGGGGCGTGTAACCAACATCAATGTGGGATGGTCAGGAAAGGTGCATGACGTGCGCATCTATAGGAACACAAGTCTGTTCAGAAAGATGCAAGCAGGAACTTTCTTTCCAGATCACAAAATAACTATGGATGGCATTGAAATGCCAATAGTGATCCTGGGAGACCCAGCCTACCCCTTGCTCCCATGGCTCATGAAGCCATACAGTGGCCACGTGGACAGCAGTAAGGAATGGTTCAACAATAGGCGGAGCAAGTGCAGACTGGTGGAGGAATGTGCCTTTGGCCATTTAAAGGGTCGCTGGCACAGTTTGGTTACTAGGTTAGACCTCAGTGAAAGCATTTTCCCTATTTTTATCACTGCCTGCTGTGCGCTCCATAATATCTGTGAGGCAAAGGGAGAGAAGTTTCTGCAGGGGTGGGGCATGGAGACAGATAGGTTCACAGCTAATTTTGAGCACCCAGATACCAGGGCAAGAAGAAGAGCCCAGCAAGGAGCTCTTCATCTCCAGGAGGGTTTGAAAACCTGTGTCGGTAATGAGCCACAGTAACGTGCACCGCTTATCTGCATTGTGCCTTCCCATACCATCCCCCCGTTGCATCAGTTTCCCTGTACCCCCCCTCCCACCACCAAGTCCCCACGATTGGAATAAATAAAGAGCATTTCATTCTTGAAACATTGATTTTTATTGCACAAGCATAAAGAAACTGAAAGACTGGGAAAATAATTTAACCTTGGGCAAACAATGTGATAAAATTGGGAAGGAAGAAACCAAGTCAGCTTGTCTGTGAAAGCACAGTAGTCTTGCCATCAAAGGTCTTTGAATGGCTGCTGTTTGTTCTTAGTACCCTCTCCCAGAGTTGAGTGAAAGGGATACTGCACTTCCCCCCCACCCCTCTCTTGGAACGTTTGCAGGAGGGGGATTGGGAACAGGGCAATGCTTTCAGGCAGTTTTGCAGGGGCTGCAAAGGGAGTCTAGCCTCAAGCTGTTTTTCTTGAAGCTCAACCAGATGCCTCAACATATCTGATTGGTCCTTCATAATCAGCATCTCATTCTGCATGCCACCCTCATGCTCCTGGGATGCTCTCCATGTCCATGTCCAATTTTTCAGACAATGAAATACTCCAGGCTCTTAGCGCCATGTCAGCAGTCCCAGAGGCATTCATTATCTCGCTGAACACGTCATCACATGTTCTCTTTTTCCGCCTTCTAATCTGTGAAAGCCTCTCTGCTGGTGTGGAGGATGTGCTGAAGTGCAAGCTTTCTACTGTAAGGCATGCAAAGCACAAGGCAACCATTGTCAGTGCATACCATGGGTCTAGCACAAGGTTGCTATTTAAAAATCACTTCCTTATTACACTCAAGTTCAAGCCAGAACATAATCAGAATCCTTAGCTATTTAACGAACCAATTTGCTATTTCACCCATGGGGAGCATGGCTCAGTGGCTTAGGCGCAGGCCTTGTGCTGCAACTTGTGGGAAACCCACATCGGGAGCACATGTGGACCATGCCCCTTCCCCCTAGCAACATGGATGTTGCTTTGAGACCAGGGACCAGCGTTAAGCCTCACAAATTGCAGTCTTTGTCCAAGGAGGAGGGGCAGGGGTTTGTGGCCACAAGAGAGCACAGAAGCCCACTCCCCACTTCTCTTAATGCTGCTGGTAATAGTCACCCTGGACTTGCAGAATGTGAGGTCAGCACTGATCCCTGCCAACAAAACCACCAGCATGTTAAAGGAAGTGTGGTTGAGGGACCCAGAAGTCACCATGGGTGGTGGATCACATGCTCTAATATTTGCGGTACGAGCACTCATAATGTAAACTTCCACCATCTCCCCTAGGTGACCTTATGTGATATCAGTCTCCTGAAGGAAACAGAGGTGGCAAGAGAGCAGATGCTGCAAGCGTTTGTGAATGGATCCGGTCCTTACATTGCTATGCTGTGTATCGCAATGCCAGCAGAATTAATACTGGAGTGCCATGGGAAAGTGTCCAATCATGATAGAAGAAATTAGGCAGCCCTTCCCTAGAAAGTTTCCTAGAGATCTCCACTGAGGATTCCCAGGCAATCCCTGTGCACACACAGTCTTTTCCGGAGGGCACTCTTTATGTAGCTGGAGCAGCCACTGTGAAGCAGATATCCACTGCCCCTCACTTTTTCTTCAGATTAAACAAAATATAAGAGCATGTAACCCCTACAGTTTGATTGGAATTGCATACTAACCAGAGGTGCCTTCCCTGGCATCACGCTCAGCCACCATGTTGTCCTGTGACTGGCTGGACTCAGAGGCTAAAAATAGCTCCTGGTTCTTGAGGCGAATGGATCCACTCCTGGCCTGTCTCCCATACTCCTCCTCTTCCTTGTCCAGAATGTCCTCCTCATTGTTGCCTGAGGTAGCTCGGGACTCAGACTCCTGGGAGGTATCCACGCAATGTTTGGGGGTAGTGATGGGGTTGCCGCTGAGAATCTCATGCAGCTCATTGTAGAAGTGGCATGTCTGTGATGCAGAACCAGAACAACTGTTTGCCTCCCTTGTCTTTTGATACGCCTGCCAAGTTCTTTGATTTTTACGCGGAACTCCTGCATGTCCCTGCTGTAGCCCTTCTCTCCCATGCCCTGTGCGATCTTTGAGTAGATGACAACATTTCTTCGGCTGGATCGGAGCTGTGCCTGCACAGACTCTTCTCCCCACAGAGCAATAAGATCCACCACCTCCTGCGTACTCCAGGCTGGAGTGTGTGTGAGGTATTGAGTTGCCATGATCAGCTGGACTGGCAAGCTCTCCACGCTGATCAAACAGGAAATGGGAATTCAAAAGTTCCCAGGGCTTTAACAAGGGAGGGACTGTTTCCTGTGTACCTGGCTCCTCTGCTGCGCAGTTGAAAACGATCTCCAGAGCAGTCACAGCAGAGCATCGTAGGACACTTCCTGGAGACCAGTTCAGTCACCTTATACAACACTGTGTCTACATTGCCTCTCTGTTGACCCATCAACATTGAATTAAGCACTATGTCTCTCATGGAGGTGGTGTAATTAAATCGATGTTACAGGCGAGTTAGGTCAGAGGAAGAAGCCTGGTAGTATTGACACATATTAGGTCAATGTAAAGTGGCTTCCGCCTACCTAAATTTGTAGTATAAATCAGCCCTTAATAGGAAACTGACATTCTATAAATATTGATTTATGCTATTAATCACAGATGTGTATGTTTTCTAAAACTTTCATACTGTAATATACTGAAAATCAAAAGGAGGAAGACAAAGAAAAATAACACCTACTTAATAAGATTCACGGATTGTCACTGTAGACTAGAATGTCTGCAGAGTCAACGCAAACCTGGAAATAGCTACAAACATGACTGAGGACCCTTTTTGTTCAGAATATCACCAGGTTAAATTATCACTGAATTTCGCGGTCTGTTACCATCCAATTTTTAAGTTCTCAGCCACTCTGACTTTACTAATTATAGTTGTGCAGTACAGCTATAGTAAAGCATGTGTCTATGGTACGCCAAGAGACCTACACCATTGTGATATCAGAGGTAACTCAACCAACTGCCATCCTTTCACATGGTGTTCAACCTTTTTTCATTTGCAGACCCCTAAAAATTTTTTGAATGGAGATGTGGATCCCTTTGGAAATTTTAGATATTGTCTGCGGACCCTGAAAGGTCTGGGGACCACAGGTTGAAAACCACTGTGTTACAACTAATTTTTATGCAACACTTTAATTGGTTGTATGAGGAAGACTGCACAGACGGTGGATTACTTGGCCCAACTGCCAGTTTTTCCAAAACCACTTACAGAACAACACAACCAACACAGAGACCCTCACAGCAGCGCACACTGCTCATTTGCCACCTGCACAAAATCAACACAAATCTTCCAGGATTGTCACTCTGTCTGTGTGTCACTCTAAAGCCTAGCATGTCTGGTGACTCACTGTGAAGTGAAACAGCTAGAACCATGGCTGATGGCTCTTTTTTATTTGGAATATCATGAGGTTCAAGCATCAGTTTGGCTGTCAGAACCAGATCGAATGCTGGAGTCCAAAGGTTCCGTGGTGGTTGGAAAGTGACAGTTGATCAGAGAAAGTGGGAGTAACAGCTATGTGGGGTAACAAGGAGATGGTTGTGCTGTCAACCAGGGGGCTGCTCTGTGTACAAACTTTGGGGAACATGTACAAACAGCAACACTGCTCCCTGCAACACAACACATGGAAACAAGAGCCCTTTTTACCAGCTTTTTGACACACACATTTAGGAATTACACCCATGCAACAGGATGAGCTTTCAGCTACTAGTTCTAAATAAAAATTCTGAATAGTATCCCCCATCATGCATCTGTCTCCTCCCCATATCTCCAGTCTTTCCTAAATTTGTATCTTCTCACGATAGACTAGAACTTGAAACTCAGAGTATTATTTCACCGTAACATGAAAATTACTTGAACATTAATTTTCATGCCATTTATTTTTCCCACATTCTGCCTTATTTGAATAATAAAAATACTTATCTTTTCATAACTATTTTCTAGAGCACTTTTCAAATGTTAACTATTACTTGCAACACCTATATGGAAAGCCAAACACTGAAAGGATAAGTAACTTGTCCCAGACCAGAGAACTACTCAGCGGCATAATTAGCATTAAAAGACAGAAGTCCTATGCTCTAACTCCCAGTCTCACACTCTAATCACTGGACCACACTTTCTCCAAGTTAACTGTTATTAAGCAACAACTTTCTTATAGCCGTTTATTGTCATTGAGGAATCTAGCTCGTATGTCATTTTCACAATGGCCAGGTAGAAGATTCTGCATTAAAAACTAGAAAACAGCATTTGTCTTCAAGTCCAAGAGGCAGTGGGATTTCCTGCCAAGAAAACCTCAAAAGTCAACTGTTAAACTGAATGAAATCAACCTTGTGCAGCCACTTTATAATTTCATTTTGGGCATAATTTCACCAGTCTTCTCTCAAGGAAAATTAGCAGAAGGAAAAGGAAAAGTATTCTCAGCAATATAAAATGAGATCAAGGTACACTAAAACGTAAATAAAGGATAGTTAAGGGAATATTTCTTAATGTTACAAGACATTTTATTGCTTCCATTTTAAAGAAATTCTAATATAATTTAATTTATAATATAATTATAGAAGAATTAAATAAACAGGTTTAGTTACCATGAACTATGTAAGCTTTTACCTCGGTAATGCTGCAGTAACTTGTTCATTCGAATATCCCAGAGCTTCACTGTATGATTAGAACCTGCAGAAACTACACATGTACCACTTGGATTGAAATCAACATAGTTTGCAAACCTAGATGGAAATTATGAAAATAGATTTAATGAGTTTTGCTGTTTTAAAAGCAATATCTATAATTCAAGAGAATTAATAAGAATGTAAGAACGTCCATACTGGGTTAGATGAATGATCCATCTAGTCCAGTATCCTTCCTTCCAACAGTGACCAGTGCCAGAAGCTTCAGAGAGAATGAACAGAACAGATCAATCATCAAGTGATCCATGCCGTCATCTACTCACAACTTCTGGCAATCAGAGGTTTGGGACACCCAAACCATGGGGTTACATACCTGACCATCTTGGCTGAGAGCCATTGATGGACCTACCCTCCATGAACATATCTAATTCTTTTTTCAACCTAGTTCTACTTTTGGCCCTCACAACATCCCCTGGCAATGAGTTCCACAGATTGACTGTACATTGTGTGAAGAAGCACTTCCGTGTGTTTAAACCTCCTATGAATTTCATTGGGTGCCCCCAGGTTCTTCTGTTACGTGAAGGGATAGGTTACACTCTCCTATTAACTTTCTCCACACCACTCATGATTTTATAGACCTCTATCATATTCCGTGTTAGTTGTCTCTTTTCTGAGGCTAGGTCTACACTACCCGCCTGAATCGGCGGGTAGAAATCGACCTCTCGGGGATCGGAGGTGGGAGTAAGCGCCGTCGACAGAAAGCCGCAGAAGTCGATTTTGCCGCCGTCCTCACAGCGGGGTAAGTCGGCTGCGATATGTCGAATTCAGCTACGCTATTCACGTAGCTGAATTTGCGTATCTTAAATCGACTCCCCCCTGTAGTGTAGATGTACCCTAAGATGAATAGGCCCAGTCTCTCCTCATATGGAAGCTGTTCCATACCCCTAATCATTTTTGTTGCCTTTATCTGTACTTTTTCCAATTCTAATATATCCTTTTTGAGATGGAGCAATCAGAACTGCATCTAGTATTCAAGGTGCGGGCATACCACAGATTTGTACAGTGGCGTTATGATATTTTCTATCCCTTTCCTAATTGTTCCTAACATTGTTAGCTTTTTAAAAAAAAGCTTCCGCTGCACATTGAGCAGATGTTTTCAGAACACTATCCACTATGACTCCAAGATCTCTTTCTTGAGTGGCAATAGCCAATTTAGAGCCCATAATTTTGCAAGTATAATTTGGATTATGTTTTCCCACATGCATTACTTTGCATTTATCGGCATTGATTTTCATCTGCCGTTTTGTTGCCCAGTCATCCAGTTTTGCAAGATCCCTTTGTAATTCTTCACAGAAGCTTTGGACTTAAGTATCTTGAGTAATTTTGTATCATCTACAAACTTTGCCAGCTGACTGTTCACCCTTTTCCAAATCATTCATGAATATGATGAACAGCACTGGTCCCAATACAGATCCCTGGGGGACACTGCTATTTACTTCTCTCCACAATGAAAACTGATCATTTATTTCTACCCTTTTTTCCCTCCTGTCTTTAATCAATTACTGATCCACGAGAGGACCTTCCCTCTTATCCCATGACTGCTTACTTTACTTAAGAGCCTTTGGTGGGGGACCTTGTCAAAGGCTTCCTGAATGTCAAAGTACACTATAAACTCTGGATCATTCTTGTCCACGTGCTTGTTGAACCCCCTCAAAGAATTCTAATAGATTGGTGAGGCATGATTTCCCTTTACAAAAGCTATGTTGACTTTTTCCAACATATTTTATTGACCTATGTATCTGATAATTAATTCTTTGTGTGGTACTGAAGTTAGGCTTACAAGTCTGTAACTGCCAGGATCACCTCTAGAACCTTTTTTAAAAATTGGATGATAGCTGGTATGCTGCCAATCATCTGGCACAGAAACAGATTACATAACAGAGTTAGTAGTTTTGCAATTTTATATTGAATTTCTTCAGAACTCTTGGTTGAATACCATCTAGTCCTGGTGACTTAGCACCATTTAATTTATCAGTTTATTCTAAAACCTCCTCTACCAACACCTCAGGCTGGGACAGTTCCTCAGAATGGCTTGGGTATGGGAATATCCCTCACATCCTCTGCAGTAAAGACGGATGCAAAGAATTCATTTAGCTTCTCTGCAATACTCTTGTCTTCCTCGAGTGCTCCTTTAATACACAGATTGTTCAGTGGCCCCACTGATTGCTTAGCAGGCTTCCTACTTCTGATGTACTTAAAAATATTTGCTTTTAGTTTGTGTCTTTTGCTAGTTGCTCTTCAAATTCTTTTTTGGCCTACCTAATTATACTTTTACAATTGACTTGCCAGAGTTTATGCTCCTTTCTATCTTCCTCAGTAGGTTTGACTTGCAATTTTAAAGGATGTCTTTTTTGCCTATAACCGCCTCTTCTACTCTGTTGTTTAGCCACAGTGGTATTTTTTTGGCCCTCTTCCTTTTTTTTTTTTAATTTCAGGTATACATTTAGTTTGAGCCTCTATTATGGTGTTTCTAAATAGTCCCCATGCAGCTTGCAGGCATTTTACTCTTGTGACTGTTCCTTTTCATTTCCATTTAACTACTGTTGTGTAGGTCCCCTTTTTGAAGTTAAATGCTACTGTAGTAGGTTTCTTTGGTATTTTCCTCCCTCAAGGATGTTAAATTTAATTACATTATAGGTACTATTATTGAGTGGTTCAGATATATGCACCTCCTGGTCCAGATCCTGTCCTCCACTTAGGACTAAATAAAGAACTGCCTCTCCCCTTGTGGGTTCCAGGACTTAGCTATTCCAAGAAGCGGTCATTATATGGTGATTTGCCACCTGGTAATTTGGGTTCTTCACATTCATCTAGTTCTAGTCATGAATCATTGAATCATAGAATCATAGAATATCAGAGTTGGAAGGGACCTCAAGAGGTCATCTAGTCCAACCCCTGCTCAAAGCAGGACCAATTCCCAGCTAAATGGATCTAAATTCACCTAATCAATAGGAAGAAATAGGGGAAAAAAGAACACTCCTGCTACACTAGATGGCTGACTCTGCTCAGTTAGGGACTTTGGACTTTCAGAGCAATTAAAATGCTATTTATTCTAAAGAAAATACTTAGACAAAAGACAGTCCTAACTCCACCAATAGAACGGAAGGTTTCGGCTGGCACAGAGACTTGGAAAACACAAATTACAACTAAGGAACTGACGTTAGCAAACATCCCTTCAAGTCTCCTCAGACAGTGGGAGCACACACAGAGGTACCAAATGAACAGAATAGACCTAGGAAGAGTATCTAGAAAAATAGAATAGTTTACAATCTGCCTTCTCATGGAAGCATCAGCAGTGACAAGTGTCCCTAACATAATCACCAATCGTAGCAGCAAAAGGAAAAAAAATAGGAAAAGGGATTTCTCTCCTGCAGTCCCTCCCAGCTTCTAAACTCTTATTGTTACACCAAAGAAAAGCCCCATGCTACCTTGCCCCACACTCACAGCAGGCTTCCATAGCATCAAAGGTCTAGGTAAGACACTTGGGAGCCCACCATTCCTGTTCCATTACAGTGATTTCTTCAGAAAAACATGATCTATCCCCAGAAATATGAAGGGCTGTGCACTGAACAGCAATGGGTCAAATCATCTTGACTATTCAAAGAGTTGATGTACTAGCAAATGTTCTTATAGAGGAAGTTAAAATTATTTTGTACAATGTCAATGGCTACAAAGTGCTGGGGGTTCCGCTATAGAATTTGTAGAATTTTGGGAAGTTCCCAAAATTTTGTCCAGGAACTCGCTTATTTTAATAATTGTAATATTTCTGAAAGATTCTCCTGTTGACTTATATTTATTTTGAGCATCTACTGCAAGATTAGGGACAAAGACAAAAACAAAAGAATTCCCAAAAGCTCAGTGCGGTCTGACTGTTGAGGAATCTGCCAAAGCTCTGGTTATGTATTTGTTTACACTTATTTTTCCACATCTGAACATCATTGGTATCAAACAGCAGATGACTAGAATAAGCAGCTTGGACTAACCAAGAATGGGAAAAAAACAAAAAACATGCGGGGGGGGGGGGGGAAGAGAGGGAAATCATCTGGTTTCCTTTCTGCCATCCTACTAAGGATAGGAGTTAAATTTCCTTCATTGAATTCAGCAACAGGAAAAAGCTCTCCATTAGAGGAGTGCTTGAAGCCTTAAACCTAGAAAACTCATTTCATTCTAGAAAGCAAGTCCCAAGCTCTCAATAGGAAAATTGAAGTGCTGTTGCTGCTATACATGCAGGAAGACTGAGGGCAGGTCTTCACTACGGGGTGGGGGGGGTCGATTTAAGATACGCAAATTCAGCTATGCGAATAGCATAGCTGAATTCGACGTATCGGAGCAGACTTACCCCGCTGTGAGGACGGCGGCAAAAATCGACCTCCGCGGCTCCCCATCGACGGCGCTTACTCCTACCTCCGCTGGTGAAGTAAGTGCGTCGATTCGGGGATCGATTGTCGCGTCCCGACGAGACGCGATAATTCGATCCCCAAGAGATCGATTTCTACCCGCCGATTCAGGCGGGTAGTGTAGACCTAGCCTGTGATAGTGACAGGCCGCAGAGCTCAAAGTACTTTTCCGCTCAGACAAAGGATGGAGAGAGATAGCACTAGTGAAACTAATAAAGTGCATATATTGGGCTCTTCCAGGAGGTTCTTTGCATTCCAAAAGCTCTGACTCCCTTTATGTTTAAAAGAATATGGGATAATATGAAACCAAAGTATTTTCTACAGCCAAAGAAGGCAGAACACACTGTAGCTTGCAGAATATAAACAACCTTATGAACTAATTAATGAGCATGAGGGGGAAAATTAAGAATTCTTCACTAACAAACATCGTACTCTAAATTAACAGAAAGGAAAGTATTGGGGAAAAAATCAAAGATAAAAGTAGTCAAAAGTCTAACCCAGTCATCTTCTCAAGACAGGTTTGGTCTCATCTCCTGAAGACAGAAAAACAGATGGGCACATTTAGACAGCCAGCTGGCTTCTTAAAAATAAAAAAATCTTTGCATTTCTTTGATTTCCATCTGCTGGTAGAAAAGTTTGCATCTATTTTCAAGTATTGCATAGAGATGTTGGTGAAATTTGATTTAAGGCAGCACAAAAGATGAACTTCATATCATGTTAAATATATTTCTGCATTCTTCTGTTGCATGGCACTTACCCTTCATAGTCTGTAAAGCTATCAATGCATATTTTATTTGCTGCATCCCAGATTTTAACAGTTTTATCCTCACTGCAAGATGCTATTAATCTTCCATCAGGTGAAAATCTGAAAAGTATAAAAAAGGTTTCTATTTAAGAAGTAGTATCAAATATTCAGTAATAAAGATAACTGAATAGTAAATAAATATTAAAAGATATTTTCTAAGACAATCTCAGTTTTCAGTTTAAGGGTGTTATACTTACTGAGAAACCTCAAGTTCGCAAAACTAGGCAGAAAAGATTACCTCTTCCTACACCATTTATATATATAAAAAAAAACAACAACACCCTTTTCCACCCCTGAAATCTAAAAACTAAAATATATTTTTAAACACCGATACAGCTGAATGGGGGAGGGGGTAGAAGAATGACCTGTAGGCTGAATCCAAGTATGAAAGTTTCAGCTCTAAAGGAGAAATTTGCAGAAACATTACAAGTGAATGAAAACAGAGTGTCATACTAGAACTCTGCATTTAAATTTTAAACTAAGGCTTTCTCTACCATGAATATTTTAATGGTATTAAACGTACACATGCTTGCGAGTTTTCACTAAGTAAGTCTTTCTAAACTAACAATGATCCATCAATAATTACCCTAAACTCTCCCAGACTGGTTAATCTGATTTGTTTTGTTTCTTATTTTTAAAAGTTTTCATGAATCAAAGTCAAACTTCTTAGTCTAGTTTCTCCAGTATTCATTACTTCTCTTTTTTAAATACAGGTGCAGTATTGCACTTCTGTAATCCTCTGGGAGTTTTCAAATCTGATTGCCTTATGGTTCTGTTCTTCTTTTCACCAGTTGAGTCCTCTAGTGTTCTATAGCGAATTTCATTATGCGCTGCTATCAGAATATATTCATATTTTTCAAAATTCAATATCAACGCTGATGTTAATCAAACAATTGATGAACCTCTTCTTTAGAACCAAGCAGAACAGTAATGGGCAATTCCCCTCTCACTGTCCTTGGAGATTTGCTCTGTCTTTAAGTAAAAAGAACAGGAGTATTTGTGGCACCTTAGAGACTAACAAATTTATTTCCGAAAGCTTATGCTCAAATAAATTTGTTAGTCTCTGAAGTGCCACAAGTACTCCTGTTCTTTTTGCAGATACAGACTAACATGGCTGCTACTCTGAAACCTGTCTTTAAATAGTGAGCCAACCCTATTGTTTGCTTTATTTAAAGAGAGACCAGGTGAACGAGTTATTGTCTTTTATTGGGCCAAATTCTGATGGTGAAAGAGATGCACAGAGCTCTTCTTCCTCTGAAGTGCACTGTGCAGCTCGAAAGCACGGCTCTTTCACCAAAAGAAGTTGGCCCAATAAAACACATTACCTCATCCTTCCCTTGTCAGTGTCATATCCTGGGACCAACACAGCCTCAACACTGCAACCAACTGTGCATTTAAAGACATTTTCTGGTGCACTATCCACTTCTGTAAGTCATAAATAACAACCTGCTTTCTACTTTGGCTTGTAACCATCCCTATGTAACCTTACTATCCGAAGAGAAAAATAGGAATTTGAAAGAAACTGTATGTATGTGGAAAAGCTAAAACATAAGTTTCAAACACAATTACACACACATACAGAATACGTTTGACGTTCTAAACAAGGAAATTGGCATATAATGCTCCTCCTTTACAAACGCACTATGAAAGAACACAATAACACAACACTCACTTGGCACAGCGAACCCAGTGTGTGTGCTGGGATAAGGAAAACAAAAGGCGCTGCCGGTGGACACTCCATACTTTTATTGATTTGTCATTGGACGCTGTAACTAGGAATTGGCCATCATGTGAGAAGTTCACACTACGGACAGGTGCAGTATGGGCTTTCAGGGCTGAAGATTCTCCATGACTGAAAATATACGTTAACATTTTACACAATATTAACCTTGTAGAGGATATAAAATTCAATAATAATCTGACACTGATTAAAAGATCAAAATTAATCTATTTCTCCCTTAATACACCTATACACAACAACAATCTCTCTTGGTAAAACCTGATTATGGACTTTAGACAAAGCCACACAGACATTTTTGAAAAAACAGGTTTTCTAATCTAGCAGAAGTTTATTTATCTAGATGACTAACTCTAAAACATAAAAGTACTTTGCCTTGCCAGCATTTGCCTTGCTATTTAGTTCAGAATATGTAATTAATGAAATAAAAATATTTTAATATACTGTAATAATCTAACAATCTTAAGAGTGAAGGTAAACACTAGCCTCTATACTGTAAAATGTCTTTAAAATATTTTTTGTTCATAATCACTACCATTTTTCTCTAAAGGAACAGAAATTTTGATTGAATGAATAAAAGTTGCTGTGTTGTCTTGGCTTCCTTCAACACTTACCCCCAAATTGCAAATGGTTGCACAGAATTTTAGCCGTACAACTCCCATTTAAGTAAATGTATCCTTTGAGTTTGAAAGAAACACTGCCACGTGAATTTAGGCCTTCCTCCTCCTGCTACCCACTCATTCTTGCCTGCCTTGAGCTAAGGCCTCCTAATTTCTGTACTCTTATAGAACTGCAGAGGAACCAACGAGAATGAAGAACCTTGCTTCCAGCTGCCCGCAGACTCCCATTATCCCTCAAGTCCACGTGATGTGGGAAGGGGGCAATAATCTACAGATCTGAAATTTCTCCTATATTGGTACTGCAGTATCAAAATATATAACCAATACACTTCAGTTATACTCACACACAGGGAATCCATAGTCTAACAGTCCGATCCTGAGAAGCAGATGCCACGAGGTGCCCATCTGGTGAAAACTGTACACTGGTCACAGCTTCCACGTGACCCACAAATCTGAAAGCTCTGGACTGTGGCTTCAAATTCCATATCATAAGAAATCTATCCAAAGATGATGAGGCTGGCAAAAAATAATTTGAAAGCTATTTTCTGTTAAAAGCAAACAACTACATCACTTGAAATGATAAGAATTCTGATAATTACTCAAATTTAAAATATACATAATAGCTACATACTTAACTGGTGACAGTACCTTAAATTCCACTATCATTAACAAGCTGTTAATTTTTAATATGGAAGTCAAATGACACAAAATGCCTACAAAAACAATTACTGCGGATTTTGTCAATGCCACTGAATTTATTATCTATTTAATGTTTCGAGAGAAAGGTTTGGTCTAGTGGCCCTAGTACAAAGTCTGGGAGCCAGCCAGGAACTCCTAAACAGACATTTTGACACTAACATTGGCTCACTGTGACCTCAGACAAGTCACTCTAAATTTTCTCATCTGTAAAATAAGGACATTATTTTTGAGGTGTATTGAGCAAATTAGGGTGCAAAGCACTTAGAAGATGAAAATACTGTAAATATTCCAATAACTATAACACAGGTTTGACAATGCTGAACAAAATTTAAAACATCTGGAAACAGGCTAGCTAATACTGCCTTTTTTATCTGCAGCTATTTAAAGTCACAGTGGTGACATGAGCCACATTTTCACAGATGGGTGCCTAAAGTTCCGTCTCTACTGTGGGATTTTCAAAAAGCACTAAGTGTTGGCCTAACTCCACAGAGGTAGGCTTGTGCTAAACCTCTACTTGAAAATTCCACTCCTAATATCTGTTTCAGTCACCTAAATTGGAACAAACGTGTCCAAAAAAGTAATTAGGTATCCAAGTACTCAAGTTTGAACATTTTGCACATTCTTTGAGTTCATGTGAATTTAATGGGAAACTGAGGCTGTTGGTTAAATAACAGCAAGCACTGGAACATATTTGTGTGTCTTTGCAGTCAGAACAGCTGATCATATACTGGACATAATTCAGTATAATGATGTGTTTAACTTTTTAAGCAAAATGTTTTCCAGACTTTGTCTGGAAGTTTCTGAGCAGCTGAATGAAAATGACCAGTCTGGTAAAGTTAGGGTTACCAGATAGCAACTGTGAAAAAATGGGACGGGAGTGGGTGGGGGAGGTAATAGGCACCTATATAAGAAAGAGTCCCAAAAAACGGGACATCTGGTCACCCTAGGTAAAGTTCTATGTCAGTGCTTGGAAAAGATGAAGGCAGGGAAGGCATGGGAATGACTTGTGTGTAGCGGGTGGGGATGGCGTAATCAGAAAGGAAAAAAAAAAGAAAGGAGAGAAGAAACAAATAATTCCTTCCTCACTGCAAGTGGGAAAAGAGGGGATGGGCGAATAGGATCTCCCTTGCAATTGCAGAAGATGTGAAGAAGTTAATACTTCTCTGCCCAACTTGCACCAGTGACGGCAGTAATTTGGGAAGAAAGAGATGAGGAAGAAACCTCTAAATTTAAAGAGACATATACAGCACAAGACAAGACTAGTACATAAGATGATGAGCCCCCCAATAGAGTCTACACAGTCCTCTCCATGGATCTAATCCCTGCTTTTCCCAGAAGCCAAGGAGAAGGGTAGTCTCTGAGGCAAGGTGTTATCCCTGGATCCCCTACTTTGGAGGGTGTGTGGTTTGTAGGTATGTGATAAGTTTTTCTAAATTTGAAAGTACGTTATTTTATAGTAGGCTCTTTCTGATAATATTTTGTATCTTTTTTTTGGCTGTAGAAGAGAGAATTTGAGTTCACCACCTTTGAAATAATGTGACAGATTATTTATTAGGCCACTACTTCCTAAACTAAATATAATCCACAAACCACCAGCAGCCCATGGAGCATAAGCACATAGCACTGGCCCTCTTCCTTGCTTTCAGACATTAACATATTTTTAAATTGCATTCTAATTCCTTCCTTTTACTGCTTTACTACCACAAATAAGTAATTGTCTATATTAAGCTGGGAAAAAAAAAAAGGAGACAGAGAGGTAGACATGAGATGAGCACAATGAAAAGAAAGGAAATTCTGAGCTGAAGCTCTCATTCCATCCTTTACTAGGGCCCCGATTCTGGAAAGAGAACTGAGTCCCATTAATTTCAATGGGATCCTGAGATAGCCTGAATATTTCTGCTTCCAGGAATTGGGACTAACTGTGGTGTACCTTCCACATAAGATTTCACACTATCTTAAACCTCTGGAATACCTTAGCACAATAATATATAATTAAGACATGGCGGGAAAGAATTACACCTCTAGCCCGATATAACACGACCCGATATAACACGAATTCGGATATAATGCAGTAAAGCAGTGCTCCGGGGGAGCAGGGCTGCGCACTCTGGTGGATCAAAGCAAGTTCGATATAACGTGGTTTCACCTATAACACAGTAAGATTTTTTGGCTCCCGAGGACAGCGTTATATCGAGGTAGAGGTGTATTATAAATACATCTATGGTTAATGTTGCTAACAGCAACAACTTCTCTCTTCAACAGTGGTGTTGAAACCATATTAGCTGCAACTGAATTTAAATTATTCTTTATCTGTAACAAAATGCACTTTATAAGTGATTAATAATTATTACCTTTAAATTAATTCTTCTGTTTCTTTATTCCAGTTTAAGATGGCTCTCTGAGTTATCCAAGCAAAGTATTTCACAGATTTATAAAATTGTTTCCCTTTTTGCACCATGTTCCCCCCCTCATAAGATATTATAAATGCATTAAGTTCTACAAAATTCAAATAAAATGTTAAAATACCTATTTAAACACGGCTCTTCCCAGGCAGGGGCTAAATATGATGTCCCAAGCCATTGTAGACCAAGCCTAATTGTAACAAAATGCGTTACTGGATGCATCAACACTGGAAAATGTAGTGTGGTATAATGCTGTCTGATCTTTATATAGGTATGATACATTGCCATGTTAAACCCTTTAAACACACTAGGTGGGTCCATAGACTAGTTTTGTAAAACAGTTTATAACATGAGCAGGTCTGGCGTATGCACTGGTGTATGTGAACACCTTTCATGTTCGAACATGGTTCTAGTTAACTACCCGCCTACACTAAAACAATAATGTTTTAACAGGGCAAAAACTTGACTGTGCACAAACCTGTCATAACATTGTTGATTCTTGTCTGCATACAAAAAACAACATTACAACCACAGTTTTACTTAAGTATCTAATGATACAGGCAATAGAAATAAACAATAGATTTTTCTTTACATATTTTGCTTTTCTTCATATGAATCAAAGACTTGCACATCCAACAATGGAACGATAGTCTATGCAAACACCAGGTTTATACATTTTTGGGCTGCAACTATTAGTAAAAGGGCACTCAATCAAGGATACTTCTTTGGCAGTAAATAAAGACATCTGGACTTACTTCTCGAAGTATATAGGCTTTCCCCCACCCCTCAATACTGCCAAATTCAGAATAAAAATAATTGGCCATATTGATCACATCGATCAAAGACAGTAAGGTTCCATCTAGAGTGGAACTCCTACTGTACTCAAACCCTCCCCTCCCCCCCGAACACCACAGCAGTGCTGATATTGTTAACAAGATTTAGTAGGACTGAACTGTGCTACGACTTTGACCTTTTGTAGAACTGCTAGACAGTTAAACACATCTACTTAATGCTCAACTATATCAGGAGGCTACCTTGCTATAACGAGGTCATGCAGTAAAATAGGAATTACAGTGTAGATGAACTTAAATATTCAAATCAAATGGGGACATTAAAACAACCACGCCTCTATCAAATATTCTTTCATCATTAGTTACAGTGGTAAATACATATACAACAGTAATTCTAAGGAGTTTCTATTTGATGATAAATAAATTTCTGCCAAAGGGATGGAGAGGCTGCTTAAATTCCGAATCTTCAATGGGTATTAAGCAGAAGAGGTTTAATATTATTAACCTTTATAAAATGCCAAAATACTGGAGTTCATTCTAAATGTAGTGGGCACTAATATAAGTGGCAAAGATCCAAAACAAAAGCCAGAAAACTAACCAACGTTCAATAATAATTTTTATTACTGTTTTTAAAAAAAAATTACATTTAATCAATGTTAAGTTTACATAGTTTCTTTTGTCATTTAAAATCAGTAGTTTAAAATCCACATACAGTAATTTTATTTCCCCCAAAATTCTCATAAAACTATGATAGAATTAAAAATAGATATATTTATACCTTTGTTTCTCAGAGTATCAGATTTTCCAGAAATCTGTACACAGAATTAAAAGATTACAGTAGCAATGCTTCAGTTATGGTTGAGATTGCCATTTCCAAGTTCCTATTAGATATTTATAATATTATAAAAATTGCTCCGATTGGACAGAAATGTTGCATTCTTAGTCTTATTTTTCTGTTTAAAAAACCTGAAATATGGGATAAGAAAATTCTCTTGAATTGTTTGTCAGTTATAAGTGCATTGAAAAAAGTGTAACATTTAAGAAACTTGTTCATTCTTATTTTCTGCTCAGATAGCTCAACAACTTATTTTTAAACTTCCAATTCATAAAATAGTCCTCCAAGAGGAGCACAATATTTTCTAGGTTTTAAAAAAATAATAAATGTTAGAATTGAATAAAAATTGCATAGTCTGCACGCACAGTACTTCATTTCCCTCACTAAATAAGTATGCATGGCATACAAGGTAGATGCGTATGCAAGCATGAATCCATTTGGAAGTGTGCATGCTGAAACAAATTTATTTATGGTAAGGCTTTCACAAATACATGTGACCATATACAGCTTGCTCTTTCAGAATGTCATGGGCTGTAGTCTCTCAAAGGAGTAGGTCTACAAAGGAATGCAGAGGTATTCCTTGGCACACCAGGTTTGATGAATGTGCCAAGGAGTGCCTTGCTGATCAATATAATGTTACAATTCCCTTATTCTGTACCAATTTATACAAATCAGACTTCAAATTAGTCATTTTAAAATAAATTACAGAGAGACTTATAATGCCCAGTGCCACATAGTGGCAATCATTTTTAGTATGGCCCTGCACTACACTACTAATCCAGAATCTTCCTCATCTAGTCCCTCTTTCAGCCCAGCCCCAGAGACTCTTGCCTCAACTTGCTGGCCACTTCTTTCCCTCCAATCCTTCAAAAGTCCTTAGAAATACCCCTGAACACACACCCTTTTCCCTCTTGCCTCATTATTGCTAGAAAGTCCCTAGCCCTTTTACGACCCCACTTTCTCCCTCCAAATAGCCATCTCCTTTCCCTTCTGCCTAGCCCTGGCTGTAATGAACCAACACCACCTACTATATCCCACTAGACCTTCCCCAGATTTGTATTGCTCACTTCCTGTCATTAATTTGTGACTATCTGAAGGTAAGAGCTGTCAGTCCAAGATCAAGTTTTGGTATCTGGTGGCTACTGATAAACAGCACAAGATGAATACAGGAAAAAGAAAAAGAAAAAAAAAAAAACCAACCCTGGATTTGCCAAAGCTTAAGCCAATGCCTCAAAGAATCATGCAGAGGCCCCAACACGCTTGGTACTGGCATTGTACTTTTTCTAGAATATGCAATCCAATGATCACACACCTAAGAAACTTTATTTGAACATCCTATCTAGGATCACATATTTAAAGAAACACCTTAATGCAATGGTTCTCAAACTGCAGGTCGCTTGCGGACCAATCAGCACACAGCTGCAGCCCACGTGACATCCTCAGGGCCACACAGGCCGTATACATATTGAGTGAATGTGGCCTACATAACACATAGAGAGCTGCATATGCAGCCCGCAACAGTAAATAGGTGGAGAACCACCGCCTTAATATCATTATGAAAAGACCTACACAAGCACCTCTTTCCTTAACCTCCTAACATACTGGTATATAAAATATTACATATATTTAAAAACAAAAAAATAAAACACAACACGAGAAAGAATGCAAAAGATTATGTAAACATAATGGTAGTGTTGAGAATATAAACAAGTGTCCAGAAATTGAGTACTAGCTAATGCTTAGAGCACTCAGGATGTGCATACTAGTTCTGAGAATTCAAAGATGAGAAACAGATGTCAACATGACACCCATCCTTTTCTCTCTCACACTCAAGATAAATGCACCACACACACTCTATAGTCTCCCACCCCCAACCTCCACCTGGCCAACATTCTCATACTGCTAGCCCATCTTCCTAGTTCCACTACCTCACTACCTCTAGCATTGGGGGGGAGGGGGGGGAAGAGGAGGAAGGAGGTGTTGAAGAACCAGGTTGCTTTCAGGAACTAGGGCAAGACTGAAGAGGTGTTCACGTGTGGAGAGGGATATGAATTAGGGAATGAAGCACGACCAGTCCTAATGTTTCCCGTCTTCCAAGTAGTTAGAAAATAGAAACTTTCATTCCTTTCAAAATAATATGACCTCTTCAACACCCTTAGGAGTTGGCAGATCTCCAATAAAGTAAACACCTGGATGATTATACAACGTACTAAGGATTAAGGTTCGACTTCCCACACCAATGTTAACTCAGCCATGTACTACCGTATTATTTATTCTGTGAATTTAATGAATCAAAACTCTACAAAAATAAAAACCTTAAGTCAGTATGAAAAGGCACTTTTAAATATTAATTCCCAGTATTTGCCAACCCACTTTCGTACACTTCAGCATAAGAGATTCAGTTCCTAAACTACTATAGGGAAGGCTCTCAGAGGACATCCACGTATCAAAGCATAGCCAGCCACTAAATTTACTCTGAAGTTCTTCAGGTAATAACTATCATCAGTGGCTATTTTATTTCTCAAACTTCCAAATTTGATTTTTATCTGCAGCATTACAAGTCCTCATTTGCACATCAGGCCGACCCTCAGAAGTACGATAAGCACTAAGGCACTTTCCTGAATGAGGATGATAAATAGTCCCATCCTCTTTAAAATGCCATATGATATTTTCTGGGATAGGGGATCTATCTTTTGGGCAGTTCCTCATGCCAATTAAATCCTTTTGTTCAGGGACTTCAGCACATAGTTCAGTCACAGAGTTAAACCTAATTTCTTTACTCGATGTATATTCAAAGAACTGATTGCCTCCTTGACCATGACATCCAAAGAGAGACACGTAAGTCCCAGTAGGATTATGTTCAGGTGAATTGTAATCGAGACATTCTGATGATATTCCCATACTGTGGATAGCTCCATGCCAGCCTGGACGATCCTCTGGTACATGTAAGTTGGAAAAAATATTTTTCAAATACCAGTCAAAACTCTTACATTTCAAACGCTCTCTTACTAGTTTTCTTTCAGAAATATCACCATAATTTTCTTTTCTTGCTGGAGGATTTCTATTGTAAAAATGTTCTTTATATTCATCCATCCACACTTCGGCAGCACGTGCAGTGTTCTGAAGGAAATTTGGCCTCGCATATGGAGCCCGCTTTGGAAACACGTGGCCTACATGGGAACAAGGATGGATCTCCAAGGTGCCGCCACATTGCCACACCCTGAATGATAGTTCTAAATTCTCCCCACCCCAGACATCCATCCCTGTGTCATATGTACCAAGATACTCAAAATACTTCTTACTAACTGCAAATAGCCCACCAGCCATAGTTGGGGATCTAATTGGGTCAGTTTTAGATTTCCATCTTTGACGTTCATGTTCAGGCACAGAATGCCACTGAAATGTCAATCGCCAGTCAAATCCCCCAATCATGGGCTCACCCGTCTGCATGTAGAATTCAAATGTATTCCAATCAATGGTATCTATAACAGGACAAATGATCACAGTCTCATTCTCAGCAATCCTCTCTAAAAGTGGTTCCAGCCAACCAGAGTTACACTCACAATGACAGTCTAGGAATGTGAGGACATCACCAGTAGCAAAGGTAGCTCCAATTAAGCGTGCACGAACCAGTCCTTCTCGTTTGCTGGTTCTTATCAAACGAACTCTTTTCAGGTTACTAATGTACTTTTCAAGTTCAGCCTTCAGATATATTTTATCGCTCAAGTCATCCACTAGTATAATTTCTTTTAGAAGTACTGCAGGAGATGTTTCAAGAACGCTGTGAACTGTCCGCAGTAAGGTTGACCAAGCTTCATTATAGAAAGCAATTATAACGGATGTAGTTGGAAGTTTTCTATAGTTGTAAGATTTGGCTTTACATTCATACATTCGATTGTCCTGTATGTGACGATGTAGAGATATTTTGTCACTCAAATAAATATTAATTGCATATTTTTCAATCAGCTCTTCTTCAAGTTTCTTTTCCTCGGGAGTCAATTGTGGACGAGCGGCCTTACCCCATTCTCCTGGCGCAGAAGAATCAGGGGGGGATTTTTCATAAACTGGACGAGCCAAATCCTCTGCTTTTTCTGCTCTATTAGAAAAGTGCCTCTCCCATCTCCCATTGGTGACGCTGCCTCCGGTGGAGGAGGCATGGAAGGTAGAAACAGACAGCTCCACTACGAAGTAGGCAACCATCAAGAGGCCAAGCAACAGGCAGCTTCTGCCAAGCCAAGTCCATCTTCTGGCCAGACGGATCCTCATTGCAAGCGATTAAACCAGCCGCGGGCAGACGAGAGAGCTGTAAGTTCTTGCAACGCTCTGCCCCTTCCTGGCACTGCCGGGAGCCGCGGACGGGCAGCAGTTCCGGGCTCAGGCTGCTGGGGAGGGGGGCGGGAGGGTTGCAGCAGGTCCTCTTCTTCCCGGATATAGAGTCCGGAGCGGGGATGCGGAGGAGCAAAAAAACAACGAAGCAGCGTCCCTCCCCCGGCCCCTCCCCGCCTCCTGTGCAGAACGCCCCCGCCTCAGCTCTCTCGTGCCTTACTTCCTCCTCTCTGTCCCCAGGACAAACCCCTCCCTCGGGCACTCTCCCTCCGCCTTGTGGTTTGCTCAAAAAGTTGTCGCTTAAGAAAGGGGCAGGGAGCCCTTGGCCCGTCCGACCCAGAGAAACGCCTCCCCCCTCCCACCCTGTGCGCCAGCCCCGCCTCCGTCAGCCCCACCCGACGGGAGCCGGAGCTAGACCCGCAGCCACACAAGCACGCTTCTCCGGAAGCCGTTGAGAAAGTTTCTTCAGTCATCCCGGAGAGCAAACACGGCCTCCTGCCCAAGCGACAACCTGTAGGGGCCACCCACCTGTAGCCATCCTCTCGCTCCTCCTCCTCCGTGCGCTCCAGCGGCACTGTACCCTCCTCCCCATTGAGTACAGTCCCGTAGCAGGAGCTGGGCGTCTGGATCCTACACAAAGCGTTCAGCACAAGCTGGCACTCTAACGCGCAACCAAAGGTAACAAACTCACCAAGTGCCGTGGTGGTCGGGCTGAAGTCAACGCCGCTGACTGCAGCTTTATGGCCTTTAAAGGGACGAATTAAGATAGGATCCTCCTGGAGAAGAAGTTGTAATATCTGAGAACTCAGTTTTGAGTCACCACCTGATTTTTGTTCTCTATGTCAACCCGGAACTCGCCATGTTAAGATCACACCAAGATCAATATTGAAAGGAGGTAGCTTCTCTCAGATACAATTGATAGATTCTGGGAAAGCAGCAGCGCCTTAGCCCTGAATAAAACTTCCTTCCATTATAATAATAGTGGGAAAGGAGAGTACTGCAAAGCATCCTAAAAGCTAGAACGCTGCTCAAGGTTGCATTGCTCTGAGAAGTGCGGTGACAGCCAAGAGGCCCAGGCATAAGTGCTGGTCTCTAGATGTTGACATGGAGAAAAATCCCGAGAAGACAGGCCCTACAGAATGTCCCTATAGCACAGATGTTCCCGAGCAATAACCCGCCGCCCGTGTGGAATCCGGCCCTGGAGGGCAGTAAAACGCCCTGCAACAAACAGGACTGATATAGCAAATCATATGCAAGGCCACCCTCCTGCTCCCCTTTAAGGGACTGTAACTCTCCTCTGACAAATCAGAGTGAGAGGGCGTTTTGAATGTGTTTTGATTTGGTTACCGCAAACGAAAACCCTGGAACAGCTGTTGGACGGCCCCCGCCCTCCCTGTTTCAAGGGCAGGGGTTTTCCATTGGCAGAGCGAGCTGTGACAAACTTTTCCCCGTTCTCTTTGGGCTCCAGGCCCCTTTCCAGTTGGCCAGTTCGCTCACGGAGGAGCGTCCACCACTCCCCAGACGCCCATCACCGTGACAGCTGAGCGCTGCCCTTAGCGGTAACAGCAGGAGTAGAGGAAAAGAACGGGCACTAGCGGGTCCCGGTGGAGAAGGGGCAGCGCATGGGGCGGGGCCAGAAGGCGCGGACCCCAGCCTACTCCGCCGCTTGGTGCCCAGCTGGAGACACGCTCATCAGTTCGGGGCCGGGCGGGCGGCTGTCCGGGGCTTCCCCAGCGCGCACAGCAGAGCTACCGGGTCCCTCCCTTCCCTCTGCCCCAAGAACGGGGCTCGGCGGGCAGCGTCTCCCCAGGCCCGCCCGCCCCCTTACCAGCACAGACGCCATGGGACAGGGGCCCGGCGCGCCCGCTCCAGGCGCTGCGATCCCCTGCCCTGAAACACCAGCAGCCGCGCCACGGCCCAGTCAAACCCCCCGCGCTCCAGACCCGACTAGCCGAGTCCCGAATTCGACCCCAGCGGCAGCCCCTGCCTGGCTGCGGGCCCCATCCAACCCTGTAAGCGCGGCGCCGAGCTTAGAGCCGCATCCATGTGATAGGCACTCGACTCGCCCTTAAAGAGACAGTGAGCCCCATCGTCCCAGTTGCTTGGTTACCATGAGCGTCCGTGTCCCACTATCTGCGCAGACCACGGCCCCAGAGAGGCACGCGCGCTACAGCTCTAGCCCCTGGCCTGCCCCCGCCCTCGCTGCAGCGCGGGCTCCTCTGCCTCAGCAGCACGAGCCCAGCGGGACTGAACGCCCAACGGTGCTTGCGCTGCTGACCCGCCGCCCGGGGGAGGAGCGGGCCAAGCAAGTAGGCCGGGAATCACCCCGCCGAGCCAGCTTGGGGAGCTGCACTCAGGGGGGAACCACCTTCCTTCCTAGCGCCTTAAGACTCAGGGAGCGTTAGAGTCAAATCCCCTCGTATCAGCCATGCTCCATCCGTGTTGTGGCGAGGGAGCTGTTGGGCGGGGGAAGGCCCTTTCCTGGGGGCTGGGCCGTGGCTTCCTCGCCAGGCGTGGAAGGATGAGATTTGTACGGTAAATGTGGGCAAATGTCCGTGAATTTAAATTTCACGCGCAGGGTTGAAAAAAGTCATTCATCTGCACCACTCAAAGCGTAGGACAGGCATCGTAAGCAAAATGCTGCTTGAGGACAAGAGTTTAATTGAAGGCTGTTCACTTTGTATATTTTAACAGGTGGTATTGACAGTTTGTATTTTAACAGTTAGAAAACTTTAACTTTTAAAATCTCACTGTTCATTGTCATTAAATAGTTGTCTTCCCCCATAATTTCCCACAACTGTGAAAATTGTATTCAATTTTTAAAAAATGCTTAAAATTTTTAAAAAATGAATTCTGCCAAAATTACTTTTACCTGAAGAAGTATGATGCTGAATGAACTCCACGTAGTTAGGGAATCTGCTGCGCAGTAGCCGATTTCAGGGGCTTGCAGGTTTGTTTCCCCTTATAGAAGAAATCAGTGATGCAGAATCTAAGTATTTTAAATAGGGTTACTTATTTTAATTTACACTGTATAAAATCAATATCTCAAAGATTGAGGTGATCAGAAATTACAGTAATAGAGGAGGGCATATAAATCATCAAAGACAGATTTATACCACTCCTTGAACAAAGGCAGTCAAGCAGCACACAAGCAACCCCTTCTTTCACCAATACCCAGGGAGAAACTCTAACCCAAAAACTGACTAGTTAGAGACACGAAGATAGATCAGCCTTTCCTGCTGCTTGCTTTCCTGCAGTTCCTCCCCAAAAGAAACATTGCAAAACTAACAGCAGCAGCATTTCTTCAAGACTGAACAGTACTTGTCCAATTAAAAAAAAACATTAAACCTACAGGTAACAGTCCTAGCTACTGACTCTTGCCATAAAAATATGTATAGAAATGGCTGAAAATTGGCAGAATCCAAAATTTGTTTACCCATCATTTAATGGGCTATGGCCTGAATCAGATCACAAAAACTCCTTCTCCCAGATGTTGCATTCCTTAAAGCCAGACAGGAAGAAATGGATAAACCCCGAATAGAGCAATCACGAAGGAGACTGCTTACTGATCTCAAGGAAAGGAGAAAACACTTACTTACAGAAAAGGTAATGTAATATAGGCTAGCTTAGTACGCTTTTATTCTATACGATTTACTTTTCTGTATTTTCTATGACAAATATTATTGCTGTTTAAGTAATTGGAACTGGTGGCTGTTACTGAGGAGATTCCCCAACAGAAGAAATGAATCAATGTTAAAAGGAGGAGGGGTTGCACCTTGAGCATTTGATAAAGCATAGACAAAGGGTGAGATGGGGCTTAAAATTTTGCTGCCAGGATATGGGAAGGCTAGGGACCAGGAAAAGGGCAAGATTTGGGAGGACCTTGGGTTGCATCGTAGTTTCCTATTGGTCATTTTATGAATCTCATTTTCATGGTAAACATTTATGAAATTTTTGGGGCTTCTGTAAACAGATTTGGCAAACTTTCATATTTGCACTGAGAATTTTAGTTAGAAGCTCTTTCTAAAATAACACATTATTTGTTATTTGATATTTTGGTAGAGACAGATAAGGTGAGCTTATTATGGAGTGGCAGTAACAACTTCATAGTTTGGGCTAGTTTCCAATTACAAGCCTGATTTTCAACCCCTTCTCTCTCCCCACACACAGCTACCCCCAACAAAGTTAATCCTCCTAAAATTTCACATACTACATCTCATTCTAGTCAGGAAATTTAAATTTTGGCTCATATCCCTACAATGGTTTGGTCTATAAACTTCATGTTTCTTTCGATTTGTTGACTTTGGTGGGCTTTGGGAGTGGGTGGTTGTGGGGGAGAGCAGAAGATATCAAAGGCCAAGATTTTCAGAAACTTTTGATTTTCCTAGTGATTCTGGGTATCCAACTTGAGACCTTAAGGGATCCAAATTGTAAGAAAGGACTGATCACCTCTCCTCTAAAAATCTGGCTCCTTTAAAAGGTGTCCCAAGTTGGATACTAAAGCTCATTGGTCACTTTTGAAAATCTTGGTGTCATAGTTAGGGGACTAGCTGCACTTCAGGCCTCTGAGTGCAGCCCCACAGTGTACTGTAGCTCAAAGCCTGGTCTATAAACCAGGCTTGCCCTGCAGGGCTGACAGTGTTTGGGTACCTGCACAGTTCTTCCCTTAGGGAGGCTGTAATTGGTTGTATACAATGAGACAGCCTTCTTAAAACCAGAATATTATTTATTTTAATAGTAGGAACAAAGCAGTTAAAATTTTAAAAAGGATTTTAAGAAGACGTGTAGACTATTGATCTTACCTAAAGGCTTCCGTTCCCATCCCCTGATTGTATCCTAGGCAAGACTAACTTCTTCAGGCACCCTTAGTGGAGTGTCACGTATCTCAGTCTGTTTCCCCTAAACAGCTACCCTTGGTCGAATGTTCCCTTTTAAACCCACCAGAGTTCTTTTGATTGCCTGGGATCACAGGCCTTTTCCTGTCCTGGTCCAAAGCACTTTTGTAAGGTAGCTAAAGGGGAGGCAAAAATCAAAGCTAGTAGTCTAGGCATTGTCCCTTAACAATTCTCCCTTCACCTTCTCCCCCTACACCCCCCGACACACTTTAGCCTCCAGCCCTCCACCCACCTGCCAAGTTTTGTGCAACTCCATGTCTTATCCCAGTTTCTGCTCGCTGCAAGGTTTATTGGCCTTAAGCTGAAGTTTACAGTCATGTGCAAATTATTTCATGAGCTAATTTACATAAAATGTTACATGGATCTGCATGGAACTTGGAAGCTATGAATATGACTAGGAAGCAGAGGTAGGGGTCTTAAGGAGTAGAGGGAAGAGTGTTCCTTCTCGAGAACTGGGAAATTGTATTTCACTGCTCAGCAATGGGGATCTGTCCTCTCGCCTCCTAAATTTCAGCTGACTACAGAGAAAGGAAGAGAAGTAGCAGAGGAGAGTGGCTGTTGCAGGCCTCACCAGTGGTGTAATGGTAAAAAAAATAAGTGGGTAGACTAACAAACTGTTTACCTGCGTTTACCCATAACTACAATACTGAGCCTCTCAGAACTTCACCACCACCCTGCTTGCAGGCTATTGATTAGTGAAGCATCTCAGTAGGCAATGTCTCTTGGCTTGCCTCTGTCTGCCCTCCCCCTCCCCGGTAGGCAGGCAGGGGGTTGAAGAAGCGGACACTTGTTCACAGCCAGCTCAACTCTTACCCTGCCTGAGCTCCTCTTCCCTTCCCAGCTAGCTCTGTGTCACAATAGGGCAGAGTTAGGAACCTGCCGGCTGCCTGAGTAGACAAAGAGCTGTGCAGATTGGAGAATGGAGTCCCAGCTGCTGGCCTGCCAGCAGGCCGCAACTTCTTCTCCTTCCCCCTTGGGGGACAGATACAGTGAGTAAGTTGGAGAGGAGGAAGCCTTAGGGATGGGCAAAGCATGGATGAACAGGGGCACTTGGGAGACAAAGCCTTTGGGATGGAGGTGCTCATTTGTTTGAATAGATGGGGAACAGAAGGTGTAGGCGAGGGAGATTGGGCAGGGTGGGGGAGATCTGGAAGAGGTGTGAAGATGGGTGTCTGGATTGACCCCGGAGCCCTGGGAGAAGCAGAGCAAAAGAAAATAGAGAAAAATGAGGGACGGGGGTCATAAAGCAAAGTGAGATCATGGGAGGCAGAGTGGTGGACCATCATAGGTGTAAATTTGAAACCTTTGGGGTAGAAGAATATTAGGTGTTGGGTAGAGGGACTGGAGGATTTTGCAAAAAGAAGAACAGGAGTACTTGTGGCACCTTAAAGACTAACAAATTTATTAGAGCATAAGCTTTCGTGGACTACAGCCCACTTCTTCGGATGCATATAGAATGGAACATATATTGAGGATTTTGGAAGAGGAAATAGAAAGATAGCTGAAAAGAAAGACTGATGATGAAAAAGAGCTGCCCTTCCCTTTCCCCTGCATGGATGGCACTGATAGTTTCCCAGTCCACTAAGGAGCAAGGAGAAGTATGTCCTGAACAGTGAAGAAATGGGTTCCCTCAGCCTCCCAGTGCAAATGTCTGTAGAATGAAAAAGGCAGTCCTTAGCTTTCTGCACAAGGTCAGAGGAAGGGGGAAAGGGACAGATTCCTAAAGTCCCTGTGAGACTCTGTAGTCCTATCAGAGTTGAGGTGTTTGGGCAGATAGGGGCCTCCACAGTCAGTTCTTATTGCTTTCAGAAAGAGACACTTGGTCCAAAATTCAGAAACAGCAGGAGCTCTGCCTATTTTACTGATAAAAACTCTGTTTCAAGGCCAATGGGGGCGGCGGGAAGCCGTGGCCAGCATATTCCTCGGCCCGCTCTGCTTCCCACAGCCCCCATTGGCCTGGAGCGGTGAACCACGGCCAGTGGGAGCCGTGATCGGCCGAACCTGCGAACGCGGCAGGTAAACAAACTGGCCCACCCCGTCAGGGTGCTTACCCTGGCGAGCCGCAGTGCCATAGGTTGCCGACCCCTGGTCTTGGGCCTTGAATGTGCATGTGAGCTCCCCCAAAGCA